AAAAATACTGCTTTTATGTTCAAAGTCTTTAAGCCTGATACAGATGCATTTTTTAAACAATACATCTGTTAGGTTTGTCAGTTGCATAAATGATTCTTGTACTTTCACAGTTTTCTGGATATTGTCTGATATTCTGTGACATCAGAAAGATTCCTATTTTATTTTTAAGATTTGTGACACTAAGGTATATCATATTTTCCTACCTGAGATTTTACAGAGCTGTGAAAGAAAAATCACTGCCTATTTTATCTAATTTGTTTTTTTTTTAATGAAACTTTCTGAGAAATATAACTGAAGTTATCTTTTTCAATAATGTGTTGAAAAAAAATCTAATCTATCAGCCAATTGGGAAAAAGAAGAATGGGTGTTCTTAATGTGGATGAAATTCCTAAGTATAAAGCTTTCTATTTCACATTTTTTTGCCTGCTCTGCATGTAATCATGTTGGTTTTCTCATGTGAAATATTTGTAGGAATAACTATGAGCCATGATCTTTAAAGGATAGTAAAACCCTTTCTTCTTTAAATATACTGTGTTTCCCTGAAAATAAGACCCTGTCTTATTTTATTTTTTTTGCCACCAAAAAAGGCACCAGGTCTTATTTTGGGGGGATGTCATCCACCGACTAACCTCACTTGTGTGCGTTGCCCCCGGCCTCATTTTTGCTGTCAGAGGCCTTCAGGAATTACTACTTCTGCGGCCAGCAAGGCTTTCCTGAAGGCCTCTGCAGCCAATAACAGAGCTCCAGATCAATATGGAGCGTTGTTATCAGCTACAGAGGCCTTCAGGAAAGCCTTGCCAGCCTTGCTGACTGCAGAAGAAATGGGCCGGCAAGGTAGGTGTCGGGGTATGTGAGGCCTGGCTACAACTGTCCAAAGGGAAGAAGTAGGGTAACTCCACCCCCCCCCATCCTCACCCTAGTTTAATTTTTATCTGTGCACTCTGGAGTTGGCGGGATCTTAATTGGGGCTTATTTTGGGATTAGGGCTTATATTGGGCGCATGTGTAAAAATCAAGCTAGGACTTACTTTTGGGGTAGGTCGTATTTTCGGGGAAACAGGGTAAATGCCACTTCGGTGCACAAGTTTCTCAAAAGTATATTCTGATTTGGATTTGGGACAGTAAAAGAAAAAAATTAAAACAATGGTTTAGTCCATGCTGATATTTGTTTTTATCCAGTCTCCAACAAAATAAAGCTCTGACATGAAGCTTTGACATTAGAAGGGTCTGTCAGGGTTTGTTACACTGTTAACATAGTTACAATTTATACAAAACTTTAAGAGTTGAACTGAACATTGTTCACTTTAACCTGCCCACTGATTTTTATTTTTCTACAGGGTGCATTTTTCCCTCATTAGTTTGTTTCTTTCCTCAGAGAGAAGATTAATGAGAATAAAGGGTTTGTCTCAGGAAGTGACATCCAAAGATATCCTGCATACACTTTCTCAAGCTAAGAAAGAAAGTTGGGACAGGTTTCTGCAGGAGAAGTCTGAATCTGACTTTTATATGGAGGGAACAGATTCTGATGAGAGGTAATGCTTGTGTAATAAATATTTTATACTTAATACCACTTTTAAATATTTGTCTTGTAAAAATTGCAAGTATTATGAGAGAAAGGATATTCCGGGACATTTATTTATACTCTAGGGTCTTCTGGTGCACCTATGAATGTTTTTAGTGACAAAGGTGAGCTCGAAATATGCTTAGAAGGAGCTCCGATTGAATTCCACAAATACGTCTGTTTTTTTTACTTATCCCAACCAAAAATATCTTTCCAACTCCACATGATTTCAGTTTCTCAGCACATACAGTACATGCTATTCTGCACTTCTCCTAAAGCTCTTCTTTTTAAAAATAAAAACATTTATATCCACTTATGTATATAGTGATATATTTCTGTTTACATATTAAGCAAAAACATGTATCTCTATTTCTCCTATCCCCTTCAATTCCCCACCCTCCTTCCAAGCTTTCCTGAATACATTGCTGGCTTTTTAATGTTTCTGACTCTTTCTGACTGCTTTTCCCTACCGCTCTTTGTCTCAGTCCAACTAGGTTGATATTTCTTCTTTTCAGTTTTGGCCAGTATTTTCAAAGCCAGTGAGACTGCGCTAGCGTGTGATAACAAAAAGCTGTTTTGTGTTTTTTAAATTGCACCCTTTTCTTTTTCCTGTATGAATTTGGAAAAATGCCCCTGCATATTGAGTAAAACCTGCACATTTTCAAGTTGCATTTTACATCTCGAAGCTTTTGTTCAGGGAAATTGAAATAATGAGCAAGCTGTTACCTCCTAGTTTGCAAAAACCCAGTTCTATAATTTCTCTTTGATTTTGCTAAGCAGTTACTGTGGCCCCGTTACCTAGGAAATCTGGTTTCAAAAGTGAATCTTCTTCTCCACTTTTATACAGACTTGTTAAATTGGAGTCCTACGGGAGAAGCATCTTGACCTGGCTCTTAACATTTTGTATGCTTCTTTGAACATTTGTGGCAGAAATGTTATTTAAATAGGAAACTAAGTTGTCATTATCCAGTGTGTATGCGTGTGTGTGCAGGGGTGGGATTCAAAATTTTTAACAACCAGTTCTGTGGGCATGGCTTAGGTGATTTGGTGGTCATGTGACTGGGTGGACATGGCTTGATGGTCATGTTATTGGCTGGGTGTGGCCAACTCAATATCGCTCACATCGAGGCATGTATCTCCTCACCTGGCCTCTCGTGACTGTGGGGATGCTGCAGCAGTCGTAAGTGTGAAAAATGGTCATAAGTCACTTTTTTCAGTGCCATTGTAACTTTGAATGGTCACTGGAAAAATAACTCCAGAGAAGTTCCTGAGACAGGAAGTCTAATCCTGCTAAGAATGTAATAAGGGTTAATGGAGAGGCAGTTTCTGTAAGCAACACCAGAATGTTTCCTTCCTGCCTTCCTTACAGGATTAGGCCAATAATTTCTTCTAACAACCGGTACTCCAAACCGCTTAGAATGTTAACAACCGGTTCTAGCGAATAGGTGCGAACTGGTAGAATCCCACCCCTCTGTGTGTGTGTGTGTGTGTGTGTGTGTACAATCTGCTATGGATTCGTAGGGAGCAAATGTTGAGACTCTGCTCCCATGAGACTTTGCAGCAGCATAAAAGCATTAATTTTAAGCAAAGTTTTGTTAGTGTTTGTCAGGTCTCAGAGCTTGTCTTATTTCTAGTGTTTGTCTTGCTTTAATCAAAAGTCTATGAACCACAGTGTTTGAAAAACACACATCCTACTGGAAATTGTATCCAAGCGGTGGCTTCTTTTTTCATTTTCCTTTGAAAATTACATTTAAAGACTTGCTTGGGGAAAATGTATGCATCACCACCCCCTGGGGAAAAAAATGTTTGCCAGACCAGACTCCTGTCCTAATAACGTAAATCATAAAAGAACTTAGATTTTACGGCCACTAAGGAGAATCTTCAAGGGAGCCATCTTTCTCTAAAGTAAGAGGGAAAGAGAAAGACAAGCTTGTTCTCAAGTACAGAAAAGAGAAACATGACACGTGAAGAAAGAAAAAAGATGGCTAAGAAAAAAGCCAAGCCAGTACTAGTTGTGAATAGATGCTAACTGTAGTTAGATTAGAATGCTTATCTTTTATCCCTCTGGGCAGCTGAGCCCATCATATTCTTCCTAATCCCTTTCCTTACATCTTCTGTCTTTGGGTTGTAAGATTGATCTGAAAGCAGTTTAGTCTGATGTTTTTGGAATCTACTTTGAGAGTCTCTTCAGCTTAAGAAAAGCGCTTTAAATAATGTTAGCTACATTTAAATTTTTGCTGCGTTCTTGTCAGCTATTGACAATAGCTTGATAAAGCTATTGATTTTATCAAGTCAGATGCCAGTGGCAACAGACAGACAGTGCAGTGTCAATTTAATCTTCATTCAATTGATCCTTCTTGAAACTGATTCTCAAACAAAGTGTGTTTGTATTTGTAGCTTAAAGATTCAGCTACAGATTCTTTGGTTCTTATTCAATATAAGTGTCAACACATAGTGTGCAGCTGTAAAAACAGAAGGCCAACAGCATGTTAGTGATAATAAGCAATGTTATTGAAAATAGAGATGCTAAACAATTAGTAAAACATATAAATATATTTTGGACTACAAATTAAAAGAAGAAATAGTCACAGAATCTTTGATAATTTGGGCTAAAAACGTGGGTCATAGTATTGAATTAGATAAGTGGGAACACATTTGGCAAACAAATTACAAATCAACCATGTCAGTCTTGTATAAAGAAAACTTATATAAAATGGTTCATTGCTGGCACCTACCCCCGAGAGATTGGCTAAGATGTTCCCCAACCTACCACCCAACTGTTGGAAATATAACTACACACAAGGAACATATTTTCACATGTGGTGGACTTGCCCATGTGCTCAGAAGTTTTAGAGAAATATTAGAAATTGGATTTTAAATATAACAAAACAAAATTTAAAACTTGAACCTGAAACCTTTCTGCTAAGTATAATAGATTTAAACATGGAGAAAAATGACCTCACGTGGCTGGAGTGTGTCAGCAGTTCCTGCAAGATGAAGGTATTGATGCTATGGACTGGCCCGCCCGTTTCCCAGACCTAAATCCAATTGAGCACATCTGGGACATCATGTCTCGCTCCATCCACCAATGCCACGTTGCACCACAGACTGTCCAGGAGTTGGAGGATGCTTTCGTCCAGGTGTGGGAGGAGATCCCTCAGGAGACCATCCGCCTCATCAGGAGCATGCCCAGGCATTGTAGGGAGGTCATACAGACACGTGGAGGCCACACACACTACTGAGCCTCATTTTGACTTGTTTTAAGGACATTACATCAAAGTTGGATCAGCCTGTAGTGTTTTTTTCCACTTTAATTTTGAGTGTAACTCCAAATCCAGACCTCCATGGGTTGCTAAATTTGATTTCCACTGATAATTTTTGTGTGATTTTGTTGTCAGCACATTCAACTATGCAATGAACAAAGTATTTAATAAGAATATTTCATTCATTCAGATCTGGGATGTCTTATTTTTATGTTCCCTTTATTTTTTTGAGCAGTGTATATATGTTGATTTGTCTATTTTAAATGTATGTCAAATAAATGTTTTTTCTAGAATAAAATTATTAAATTAAAAAAAAAGAAAATAGAGATGCTAATATCATAATACCTATGTATAAATCAAGAATGTGACAGCATTTGGAATGTTGTGTGAAGTTCTGGTTACTACATCTGAAAAAAGATCTAGAGGAGTTAGAGAAGGTTCAGAGGAGAGCATTTAAGATGATAAAAAGGCTGGAACAACTGCCCTCTAAGGAAAAGTTCTGACATTTTAGTCTAGAAAAGTTGCAAATGTTGAGGTATTCATGGTGTGGATAAAGTGGGAAAGGACTTGCCATTTTCCCTTTCCAAAAATAGTAGAACCAGAGGCCACCTGATGAAATTGAATCCTGGAAGAATCGGTACATTACATCAATGTGTAATTCGACTTTGGAATACTCCACTAAAAAATATGGTGCTGTCTACCATCTTGGCAGGTTCCCAAAAAAAGAGTTGGACCAATTCATGGAAATCAAGGGCTTCCATGGCTTGATAAGGGCAGGGGAGATGCTTCTGAAGGCCATCTGCTGGGACACTAGGAGACTGGGCAGTTGGTTGATCACTGAAGGTACTAAATGGTGCAGGGGTGTTATCCAGCAGGACACTGTTTATTTTATTAAGCTTTCCAGACCATCACAATATCTAAATAAATGATCTTTAGCTAATTTAGAAATTTTCTAAAGAGGTTCAGGACTCTTTTTTCATCAGCAGACTAGCTCTCTAAAAACTGAAAAGAATGAGTACTGCACAGATTTCCTGTGGAAGTAAAAACCAGGAAAAAACAAAGATCAATCTCAGTCAAACCAAGAGTTGTAGAAAAAGAACACTCAGAAGAAAATTCAGCAATGCATCCCCTATGGAGTACAGTACAGTACTTTAATTAATAGCTTGGAATGCTATTAATTGTTCCATTCTTAAGCCTGCTTACTCCTGGTCATATGACCCAGACTTGTCCTGTTACAATATTAAGTGACTGGAAAATTCCTAAAACTATATTTTACATGTTTTTCCTACTTTATTTATTTATAGTGTTATATTTATAGCCTGCCTATCTTAAAAAAAAAAAGTAAAGGCATTTAATGTGCTGCTTCTTCCTATTACCTTCTCCTATTAACCCTGTGAACTAACTTGTGTTGAGGAACTTACCCAGTTCACCAAGTGATAATCTGCTTAATCATTATTATTTGGTATGCTATGATTACTGTAGCTGGCATTGTGATAAGTCACTAGCCATAGTTCCCAAACCATAGTGGCTTAATTCCTGTAATCTATCATGGTTTAGTATAACCAAATGGGGATTCTACTGGAATTTTCAGAGAAGGTATATTTCAAAAACAAGATTCTGCCCTTGCATTCATGAATGAATAGTTTAATCATTGCTTGTTTCAGGGGTAATTAGTCTTTCTCACTACAGGCTCATGTGAGGCTTGAAGTGAACCTTGTGGTTATATTCAGAAAATAATTGCCTTCGGACCTTTGCCTACGGACAAAAATGGTTGATATAGACAGTCACAAGCCAACTTTTTCCCTGAAAGCAACTATCTTTCTATGATCTTTGTCAGAGCCTGATCTGCTGATGCAAACTAGCAAGTTAATTGTGGTTATGTTTGCTTATTTTTTAAAATTGGTGCAGGAATCCTGATGGACTAATCTAATCTAAAGTCCTGCAGGCACCATATTGTCTACACCTGTCTTATTTATTTACGATGAAGTGCCCTTGTAACCTTTCTGTTCTGCTTCTTCTCAGTACTTTGGAATACTTGAAACGTTGGCTACAACCAGAGAAGGTGGCGGTCAGCAGTGAGGAGATACAGTTTCTCATCCCCCTCGGAGCGCCTCCTGAGAAGCAAGAGGCTGAAGAAGAAGAAGAAGAACCTACGCCTGTAGAACAGTGAATGACCTTGGACCTTGTCTCCAGCACAGTTGGCTGTTGGCACTTTGGGTCAAAATGCCAAAAAGAAGGATAGAGTTTGATAGACCTTGTGGATTTTTCTCTCCACCAAAGTTTATAATGTACAGATTCTGGTTTAAACGTCTTATAATGTTGCAGATTTAACTTAATTGTGCGTAATTTGTTAAGATGATGATGAAGCGTGGTAGAATAACTTAATTTGGCAAACAGATTTAAATCCTCTTCCCTCAAATGCAGAGAAGATTTTGCACTTAAATGATCATCTATGGAAAAAAAACCTTAGCAATACTTTCCTTGCAGAATATAATTGCCTCATTCACAACTCCCCTGATTTACCCACGGGTATCTTTTTCACAACTTGGGAAAAAATCCTGAAGACCTGTACCCTTTTCCCCTGGGAAGTAAAAAATGTCTACCACCATTCAGCTGAGCTGAGCTAAAGCTGAGCCAAGCCATGCAATTCCATCCTTCAGTGGGATAAGCACTTCCTTAGCAAAAACGCAATAAATGCTCGGTGGGAAAAAAATGTCCTACTTGGTGTAGCTTTGTTCTGTTGCGGCTATTTTTTTTTTATTATTCATTTCATCAAAGGATTTGATGTTATCATCTTTTCAAATATTTTTTTGGGGGGGTGTTGGGCTAATAATTATCTATTCGTGTTTTTCTTCCTCTTATTTCTTTTGCTGCAAAAAGTAAAAGAAAATGCATAATGAAGGAAAAAAAACCAGAGCTGTCAGTTGAATGAAGAAGGCAAAGTTTGATATGAGGGCAGAACAGAAATGTGAGTTTTTAGAGTAACCCTCCCAACAAGCCCCTATTTCACTTTATTTGGGCGGGGGAAGATTGGTAGGAAGTAATTCTCCCATTCAATGCTATAGCGTAGCTTTGGTCTTTCTATCTCCCCCATTTTTATCACCAAGCCTTTATAGTTTCTGCGTCCAATACTTTTTATCATGGTTTGCTGTCTATTATAGGCTGTTTTGAATATTTTTTTTAAATTTGCTTTTTCTTTTCTATTTCCATGGAAATTATTTTTAACAGCTGCATATGGAAATAATTGAAGAAAGGAACTATCTGAATTTCATTATTTACCATAACTTTATTGGCAAAGTTATGTAGTCAAATTTGAGAGGCTACATACCACCTTAATGGGTCTGAGAAAGGAGAAAAACAACTCATTTTTTTTTTAAATGCAACAACTATTTGCATTGGTTTAGCAGGAAGACAGCACATATTGGGGAAACGATGTGATATTCCCACTGTGGGGTTCTTTTTTTTTTTTGGCACTGAAATTCTCAACTGAAAGGTCTGATGTCTCTTTAAATGCATGTCATTGTTATTTCATCTCCAAAATTGTAGAGATACCTTGTTTTACTAAACATATCAGAAAATAAATGTTCACCAAATGTATTAGACAAAATGTTGAAAACTTGAGAAGTTTACAGATTATTTCTTTACTGAATTTATTTCAAATGTAGCCTAACTGGATTTTCTGAATCTGGTAATGTAATATGAATAGTGGATTGTATCGTTTGATTTTACTTTGTCTGTAATCTGAATATTGTCTACTTGTATAATTAACACTATTTGAAAGTTGATTGTGATGTTTTTTCCATCCAGTGAAAATATACATTCTTGTGTAGATAAATTTGGGGTGATTTGGTAAATGTTTTAGAATAGAGGTGGCACACAGAGAAATAGGCGCATTTTGGCTGTTGGAAAAGTGCTATAATGTTGCGTGTAAACATTGATTATTAATCAAAGAAAGAAACCCCAATCCACAAACTTTCAGAAAAACTTACCCTCTTTGCTAATGTCATTGTGCCCATATAGTTTATAGTCAACCAAAAATATTTAACAAAAATTGAGGGGCGATTGCCCTGGCTGTTTAAGAATTGGTCCCATGCACCTGTGTGTAGTGAATGCTGCAAACAGGTGCATGGGATCAATCCTTAGAAAAGAAAATAAGATCCTCCTGAATATTTTAATGTGATATTGTCACTGTTTTCAGACATTCTTGTATTGCCAAATACTTCAGAGTTGCAAGATGGATACCGGAGCAGGAGGACACTAAAGGTCCAGGTGTTAATGTAAAAAAGGCAGATGGCACCCCCAGGACAGTCACTGTGTTGGTTATGGGAAACTCCTTGGTGCTTGAATTCGTGTGAACCAGCCAATGATGAGCAGCTTACATGAATCAGAAACAGGAAAAGGAAAAGGGCGGCCCTGCACCTTTGGGCTTCTCATTTCCATAATCAGAACATTATGGTAGAATGGAGAGCTCTCTGAATTATTACCCCCCCTCCCATTTCCCCAGGCTCAAGAATGTGGCAATGTGGAAGCATCTGGTGCTAATTTGGCTTCCAAAGCTGACATCTGCACTACTGTAGGTGGCTTGTGTGAAAAACATTGGAAAACAAAAAAAGGAAAAGAACAGGGCTGCTATGCCCCAAATTCTCTAAATGCTTATGATGTTTACAATACTAATTGCAATCGTGCATGATTTCTGCAGAGCAATTAACTAAGTGATTTCCAAATTCACTGGGAAATTGTTATCTTTATTGACAAGTCAACTAGGACTCATTCAAATGATGGAGTGGGGTATGATTTAAGGTATGAGGTTAGTACTAATAACAGCAATTAACACAGATTGAAAAGAAACATCCATCAAAATCCCCAGGTGGATCATTGTTGATGGATGTTCTGTACCTTCAGAATCCTTGATATTTAGTCAAGAATTTTAGAAAGTCTGGTTAAAAAGGCTCAACTGTCCTGATATTTGCCAACCAGAAATACCCTTAACTTATAACCCTAATTCAGCCTGTGTGTTTGGTCATAAGTCATGACAGTTGTTAAGTAGATCACCATGTGGCCACACCTGGCTTTACAATCTTTTTGCAGCAGTCATTAAGTGAATGCTATATAGTCATTAAACAAATCCATTGTTTGCTATAGGGTGTTTTTTTTGCTGGAAACCGGAAATAAATGTTGGTTTCCAACAAAAACTTAAATTGTGGTTCCATGACTATGGGACGCTGCAAACGGCCATAAATATGGCTGGTTGCCGGTTGGCCAAAATGTGGTCATGTAACCATGGGGGGGGGGGGGTGCAAATCTGGGTTATAAGTCCCTTTTGAGGGGGGTCTGTCATAACTTTAAACAATCATTAAGCCAAGGACTACCCGTAGTGATTGCAGAAATGCCTGCTAACTGGTAAGGAAAAGATGCCAAGAATCTGCCTGATTTCCTTATACAGCCATCAAAAGATATTCCTGAAGCATGGAATCCATCAAATGGATTACTATAATGGCGCTACCCATAAAGATGCTCAGAAGCTACAGTTGATGCAGAATGCAATGGTGTGAGCAGTGATGGGTATGCTTGAGTATGTTGGTGTGACATGATCCTGCAAGCTGGGCTGGTTACCAGTTGACTTCTGGCTGCAATTCAAGGTGCTGGTTATCGCCAGAAATGTTTTCATGCCATGTAGCCTGACTATTTGAGGAACTGCCTGTTTCCAGTTCTTTCTGGCCATCCAGGGTGATCAGGTAGGCTGGTCATGCTCTGGGTATGGGACATAATATATTTAGATTTCATCAAGGCTTTCGATAAAGTAGACCACAACCTACTTCTTAGTAAGCTAGAAAAAAGTGGAATAGATAGCACCACCACTAGATGGATTCACAACTGGCTGGCAAACCGTACTGAACAGGTAGACCTTAATGGGTCTAAGTCTACATGGAGGGAAGTAAGCAGTGGGGTGCCACAAGGTTTCATCTTAGGCCCAGTACTCTTCAATATCTTCATTAACGACTTAGATGAGGGAATAGAAGGGGAACTTAACCAAATTTGCAGATGATACTAAGCTGGCAGGAATAGCTAACACCCAAGAAGATAGGCTCAAGATCCAGATGGATCTTGACAGACTAGAACACTGGGCCGTATCTAACAAAATGAAATTCAATATAGAGAAAAGTAAAGTCCTACACTTAGGCAAGAAAAACCAAAAGTACACATATAGACTGGGTGAAACCAGGCTCAATAGCAGTAACTGTGAGAAGGATCTTGGAGTCTTAGTGGACAACCAGCTAAATATGAGCCAGCAGTGTGCAGCAGCAGCCCCAAAAGCTAATGCAATCCTAAGTTGCATTAACAGAGGGATACAGTCAAGATCAAGGGAAGTACTAATATCATTCTATAAAGCCTTAGTAAGACCACACCTAGAGTACTGCATCCAGTTTTGGTCACCACATCATAAAAAAGATGTTGAGACTCTAGAAAAAGTACAGAGAAGAGCAACCAGGATGATTAGGGGACTGGAGGCTAAAACATACAACGAACGGTTGCAGGAACTGGGCTTGGCTAGTCTAGTAAAGAGAAGGACCAGGGGAGACATGATAGCGGTCTTCCAATATTTGAGGGGCTGCCACAGGGAGGAAGGGGTCAAGCTATTTTCTAAGGCACCTGTAGGCCAGACAAGGAATAATGGATGGAAACTGAACAAGGAGAGATTTACCCTGGAAATAAGGAGAAACTTTCTGACAGTGAGAACAATCAACCAATGGAACAGCTTGCCCTCAGAAGTTGTGGGAGCGCCATCACTTGAGACTTTCAAGAAGAGATTGGACTGCCATTTGTCAGAAATGGTGTAGGGTCTCCTGCTTGGGCGGGGGGGTGGACTAGATGACCTACAAGGTCCCTTCCAATTCTGAGTATCTGTATCTGGGTTCCATGTAAGTAGAGTCACCTTGTAGGGCCCAGGAAACACGCCTTCTCTGTTATGGCACAGGCCCTCTGGAACAGGGGTTGCCAACCTTTTGGGCCTCAGGGACCACCAAACTCATAATTTTAAATCCCACGGACCAGAGACCCTGGGAAAATCCCAAAAATTGTTTGCAGGAAAATTCCCCACCCCATTTTTTTACTGATCGATCATTCTTTATTTGGGATCACAGGATACCGTCTCCAGCTCCGTTCCCAGGAGAGAGAGAGACTTTTGGCTTCATGCAAGGAAAGCAGCAGAAGCAGCAGAAGTCTTTCTTTCTCTCCCCCAAACTCCACCAGAAATGAGTCTTTGTGAGAGTTGTCCTGCTGGCGCAGCCTCTTGGAGCAGGGTGCCTTGCAGGGTCCCAAAGACTCATTTCTGGTGGAGTTTGGGGGAGAGAAAGAAAGACTTCTGCTGCTTTCCTTGTGTGCAGCCATAAGCAGAAGAAGAAAAAAGTGGAAAAAAGCAGCCTGGTGGCCAGGCCAGGTGCATGCGGCGCGTGGGGCAAGTTCCCCCTCCACCCTTTCCCCCCTCCCCTCACTACCTCATGTTGTTCACAATGCAAGCCTTGTGTTCCCATGGGCCGTGTGGGCGGCGCAGCCTTGTGTTCTCACGCAGCCTGCATTAATTGCTTTGGGGAGTGCTTTGGGGGTGACATTTCTCTGCGGACCACCCAAATTTTCTTATGGACCACCAATGGCCCCAGCGACCACTGCTATGGAATGACATCCTGCCAGAGACCAGAAAGCCAATAAAAGACCTGGCTATAGTCTCAGGCTTCGAGCCAAAGCAAGAGCTGAGCTCGTTGGATGGTGATATGTTCTTTCTGGAACCATTTGCGATTCCATTTTGTCCTTTTTACAAATTAATTAATTTATAAGTTTCCCAGGATCTTATTTTCCTACTGGGATAATCTCTGGCAAGGGGGTGCATGCATCAAGTAATTGAGAGTGAAAAAAGCAGTGGGTAAGGTCAGAACATCTTTCCAATGCCTTTTCCCATGCTTTTGGAAAGTCTCGTTTCATTCCCAGGATACAGACAGTAAAATCTCACCCATGCTCTGAATTAATATCTTGCAACAGGGCTTAGAAAAGAGGCCGAGAGCTATGCAAAATTAACGTGAGCCTTATGTCCTCTGATTGATTCTAAGAAACATTAATCACGTTGATATCCGTGCCTCTGCTTTGAAGAGTCCTTTGTTCTGTTGAAAGGGGAGGCGAGGGAAATTATTCTGATTTATTTAACTCATATGTATCAATCCCTAATACAAATCTGTAGAAGTGGGCAGAAGTGTTCCTCAGGCAGAGGAACAGAAGGCTTCACTCTGCTTTAGTCTCTTCTCGGTTGAGCAAGAATATTTTCTTTAAAAACCCCACTGCTTCCTTTTGAATGATTTCTATTTTAATGGTGTTATTACCCTT